AAACTTTCATTGAAGTATATACATTTTTTATATGCGTAAAATGGAGAGGAAAACTGATCGTGTTAATCTAAAAGCTAACATGGGACCGGCGGTAACTTCTCGAAACTCGTTCCCCTCTCAAAAATAAGCAATATTAAAATACCTAAGTATATTATATTTAAAACTTTCATTGAAGTATACATTTTTTATATGCGTAAAATGGAGAGGAAAGAGTAGGTGCGCCGAGTCTTCTGCTGGTAGTATTTCGGGATATCAAGACTTGCTTTTTTTCAGGTGATAGACAGCGCGATAGCGGCGTTCTGCTTGGAGATAATAGCGCGACACGCCGAGCCGGCGCCGAGGTTGTGCAACAAGGACCCACTTACCCTAAAGATGGGCTCGTATATTCTCGAGCTCTTCCCAAACGCCAAATTTATATTCATGGTACGCGACGGACGCGCCACGGTGCATTCCATCATATCCAGGAAGGTGAGAAAACACTGCGTTACATGCTTTATATGTTAGTTTTTAAGATTTATATCAAGTTACCGCGAAAGTTTTGTCTTTTCTCTACTTCGAATTTTGTTTCAAACGTAGTTATTGTCTTTTTTTTTTAAGAATTAAGGAACTTAGTATTTTTAATAGCTTTTTTTTTCATTCAGCATCTTTTTTGTAAACATATTTTTAGATATAAGTACATATAGACGCGCGATATATAGAGCGATGCAATTCAATACGACGATTCTACAAGTAGCATTTTCTCTCTTTTTGCAGGTCACGATAACGGGGTTCGATTTATCGTCCTACCGGCAGTCTCTCATCAGATGGAATCACGCAATTTCCGTAATGTATGGCCAGTGCAAGGAGCTGGGGCCGGAAAGATGCTTGATGGTCCCTTACGAACAGCTGGTGCTGCATCCACGTCAATGGATGAAGAAAATATTAAATTATTTAGACGTACCGTGGAACGAATCCGTCATGCATCACGAGGAATTTATCAACAAACCCGGCGGAGTGCCTCTGAGCAAGTAAGAAAAATAAAGAAAGAGAGAAAAGAAGAAGAGGAAGAGAGATGCATCCTCTAAACTTACGAACAATATTTACAATGTATCCTACCATTAATGGATACATGTATATGCATGTTAAAGTAATGTCACATATGATGATAGAATTACATATTAATTAATGTTAAAATATGTGATAGTATAATTCTTTCCTTTGCATTATTAATGCCAAAATTAGGAACGAAATAATCGTTCGTATCATTAATGTTGAAGTAATATCGTAACGCGATAAAATGATGCATCATTAACATACATATTAAAATAATATAATAAAGTTAATAAAAGCGATAAAATGAGCGTTTCACGTAGATAACATTAACATCATGTTCAACAGGGTCGAGAGATCGTCGGATCAAATTATAAAGCCCGTGAATCTGGCGGCGCTTACCAAATGGGTCGGTAACATTCCCGAGGACGTAGTGAGAGAGATGGCTGACATCGCGCCGATGCTCTCCGTGCTCGGCTACGATCCTTATGCGAATCCGCCCGTCTACGGCGCGCCGGATAGTTTAGTTAGCGACAACACCAGACGGTACGTGCCCATTTGTTATAGTATACGGTTGTTACAGTTATCGCGTACAGAGTTGCTATCACGAGCAGTATTCAAACCATGTGCAGCCAACCAAAAGCGAACCGAAATGGGACACAATTAATTTGGCATACTAATATAACATTGATGTATATTGTTGTATAGTTATAATTCTAAATTAATTTGAATTTTAAACAAAGAATTGTAATTATTTATAGAGTAATTTAAGAAAATCTCACATTATATAGCATCCGTACGGTTTATACTCGGAAATAGTTTTCGTCGATTATTATTTATATAAATAATTTTTTAATATCTATAATACCAAATAATTTTAAAATAATTGTTGAAGTACTAAAATTTCTTTGTAAAAGCAACAGGAATCTTTAACGATATGTTATAAAGCTAAATATACATGTGATTTCTAGTGAAAATAAAAAGGTTGTTCAATTAGACAGAGAAACAGAACCTAAACGCAATTATAAATGTTTTAGGCTAGTAAATATTCGATTACTATATATGTATATATTATTTTATATAGGTTGTTTAATATTTGAGTTATTTATTTAATTTCCTTTTTTTAGGGTGTTGGCTGGCGAAAAACTGTGGGAGGAGAAGGCGCGGGCATACCATCTATCCCACAGACCGACTGAGACGAGCAATGAGGAAGCTGCTTCCAGCACGGCTCCGGTCGCGTGACCCCACGCGATACTTTTAGATGCGCGCAACACGTAACCAACTACTATCCTAACTCTAATCCGACTTAGGATTTCCGCGCGTGCGGACTTCTCCCCTTGTATTTTCAAAGTAAACTCGATAGTCGCATACGACGCGACTTGTTGTCCCGTCAAGGATTAATCGTCGTGTTTTCTTAATCTCCTTCGTTGCCACATCGACGACATGCATGGACAACGAATTCATCGGCATTCACTCATCGCGATGTTTATTTATTCGCATCAGGTTCGCGTGTTTCGTGAAATCAGGAGATTTGTAATACTAGATCGTGACTAGAAAACACAAAGTGTCTTTCCAAGAATGAATACCCGAAATATTGCGGGAAATATTTTAATAGTTTATCAAGTGTCACATTGTTGCGTAAAAAGGTAATTTCTGACAGTTTTTTTTTAAATCTTTTAATGTTTTCAAATCAGATATGACTTTCTTTCATCTTAATATAAGTATGTTAACAGTTCTTATATTTCTGGAATGCATATAACTAATGCCAACATAATCTTTAAACATGATGAGATATAATAATAATATATGTTGAATAGTAGAATTATTATTATATCAATTTGAAGAATTAAGCATAGTTTGTAAGGTTCATTTTAGATATGATTTATGTAAAATGTGTTGTATTTAAATATCTAGACTGGACCTCGCAAATTATTACCTTACCGCATTTTTATACTAAATTTTTTTATTTCTACTTAATAATGTATACTATATATAATTATAAGTAAATTTATTAGTAACAAATTACAATTAAAGAGTAAAAGAGATCTGATAAAAATTTTTCATTGATTAAGTTGAATGACAAGTTCCTTTTTGTCACTAGACATCGTCTAGCATTACAAGTATTGTAGTGCGTTATGATACAAATCCCGAGTTGACGGAATACTATCGCTCTGATCTATCATCATAGTCGTTGATTATTACGAGAATAACAAGCTTGATATTCGTCGCGCTTAGGGATCAAACTTTGATTATGCATTGTGAAGAATAAGATCCGTTACTATTTCTGTAACAAATACGAAAAATGATCTTATGCTAATTGTCGCGTTATAGAGATGAATATAGCGATCATTGTCGCATGTATGGAAAACCGAACACTGCGTGATCGGTTTCCATCTTTTCTTATTAAATGACATCGACCAATAACGGCCAGTGATTTTAAACAAAAGCGTTGATAAGATATTTAACGACGATAGATCAATCTTAAATGCACAAAGAGATCGAAAGTAGAAAATTCTCTTTCATCTCTCACGAACAAAATCTTATCATCGGTTGATCACACAGTTTAGGAGGATAATAACCCAGCACAAATGTTTTTATTCAACGATAAAGGCAATCGTCCGATACATAGAACAAAATTATACAAAAATGAGTTAACTTTATCACGAGTAGTAGTTTTAAGGTTTGTACAATGCGTGATGTTTTGCTAATTCAGCAATGTGTAAGTATAGCTTGTTTCTTTTTTTCTTAATTTTTCGGATAAACTATGATTTTTGCATAACATTCGTCCAATTATATATTATATATATATATATTAATTATATATTAACCATGTACAAAGTCGAGAAGTTTGCACACTAGGGTTTTTATTCTCTGCATCTCCACTATAGCATTTCAACGCCACTTTATTGTAACCAATCTGAATCGAATTTTTCATCTTCGCCATATTTTTTAAGTAATGTAGTTTATCTTCTTCACAGCCAATCTATATTAAAATATTATGAATATATATTTCTGATATATACATTATCAGAAATTAATATTCGGTTGGTAACACAAAACTTCATCATATTTGCCACATGAAAAGTCGAAATTACATCAATTTTAAAAATATTTTTATTAGTGAGAAACATTTTAATTAGAAATATTCCTTAAACTTCTTCCTTTTAAAAATTTAGATCGATCATCTTTAATTTTTGCTTAAAATTAATAAAAATGGAAAAAAGTGTGACGCAGTTATTATGAACCAACCTGATATTTATATAAATGTAAATAATATTTATGAAGTTTTTCTTGACCATGATTTGGCTGCGACACATTCTCATTGTTCATGGATTTTTATGACATATGTTATAATTTTAGGAAAAGAACAAAATGCACTGTTAGAATGGAATCTGCGACAGACAAGCAAAGGCATGTCAAAATCTTGACTATTTGTCGAATTATGCAATTAAATTATTTTAATATTATACAACTCTGTTACATCCAATCCATGTTCCTTATCTCACTTCCAATCGGCGCGACGGATAAAAATAGATTGCAGCTTTATCTCGGTATCGCGCAAATTTGTATAATTTGTGCGAATCGTAAAATTGGTAAAATATTTTAGTTTCCTCATTAATTCTAACTAATTATGTATTATGGGAAATTTAAATTTAATTTTTAAAATGTTGCTTTTATTGAATCTGGTATGTGAAAAATGGAAATCTTAGAACATTATAATTAATACCAGTCAGCAATTCTGAAATAGGTATTTGTTGATGTTTGCGAATATTTTAACAATGTGCGAAATTATTTGACACCACGAGTGCAACACTGTTATACATTATATATATTGATACATGAATATTATATATATATAATTTAATTTTGTATGGTAATAAATATATATTGCACATTCAGATTTGGGGAGTTGCATTTAAATAAATAAAAGTCAATTTTTAATATACATTGAGCAATAAAAATACACAAGAATGATATAAAAATATATTTTTACTCAATTACATTGTGTTTTCAGATTTCTATCGTAAATCTTCGTTATTCGTGAGAATTTTGATAAATTACAATTTCTACAACGGTGCCTTTCGATATTTCGCCTGCACCCATACTCTGTACATTCGCAATTGTTTACCTCTATTAACTTGCAGCCTTCTGTCCACAAAGTTTTGTTCTTCGATGAAGCCATTACTGGTAAATAACTTTCTAATTTCCTCTGAAATAACCAATATTTTAATATAACGAATAATTAATTAATTATTTGCAAGAAAACATTATAAACATCAAACTTTAGGTACTAAATAGTTTAATAGGCAAGAATCACACACATTATAGTTTGAAAATATAATGCATAAGAAAGTTTTGACATACAAGAACAATAATTGAATTATGATATTAATTCTACAACATTAGAAAAAAGATATATCAAAATTTCTAGGAAATATTACCATGTAGGAAAAAGTATACTTTGGTGCCATCTCCACGCACATAAAAGTTTTTGCTGAGACAATTACCCTTCTTAAATCTCAATTGCGCCAAATCATATCTGCCATAATCGCGAAACAAAACTATTCCACCTGGCTTTAGATACCTGTGTATTTGCTGCACAACATGTTGCATTCTACAAAATAATACAAAGCAATATATTAACATCTATGTCTTTTTTGAATATGAGAATAATTTTAAGAATATAAAGTATGCAAGATACAACTGTATAAAAATAACAAAACATTATATAGAGATACTTGTATGATAAAAATATAACAAAAAAAAAACACAAAATATATAAAATATAAATTTTATATATATAAACAATTATAATAAAAGATATAACAAAATGTAATAAATATACATGTATAAGGTAAGCACTATATAAAAAAATTAATATAAATGTAACAGATACACTAAATAAGATGTAATAAAAGAAATGAATTAATAATACATGATAAAACAACATACTTATCAGGATGGATGGCAGACAATACAAATATAAGGATAACAATGTCTAGACTTTGAGGCTCAAAAGGAGTTGCCCATGTTTCTTGAGTCACATCAAGGACGAATGCTTTACACCTAAAATCACAGATTTTAGATTGTACAGATAATATATACAATTATGTGCATACATTTGCGTGATATATTGGATAATCGGAAATAAATTTACACAAATTTTGAGGATGCTTTACCTATCTACATCATAAGCAGGATTTTGTTGTAGTATATCAATTGCTTTCTCGGAAAAATCACAGCAATACACAAATAGTCCTACACCACAGCCTATTTCGAATATTCTACAATTATCTTTACATGGCAAATTTAGGATTTTGATATGCTTATCTCCGTGACTTTTATCTTCGTCAGTAAGTGCAGCCCTCATAGGTCTTTCTGTGTCCTCTTTTACAGTATTAGGTGCTAATTCAGGAAACTCAATCAGTAACCAATGTCTGTCTTTAAAAAATCTGAAATAAATGTATCGATTAGAAATTTATCCCTAAAATAACATGTATAACAATTCAATTCAATGATTATATTATCTAATAATCTAATAAAGGAAAAAGAAGTTTTCCTAGACTTTACCTATTGATAAACACGTACCTATTGTTGTGTATGCCATAAAATTTGTCCCAATATTTGTCCGCTTCAGTTTCATATTTCAGGAATTCTTCATATGATATTGTAACAATGGAATTCTCATCCACTTTCTGTTGTGCCAACTTTTCCTGTTCCTCATCCCATGTAACATTATCCCTTTTAGAGTATCAAATTCTTAATAATTAACAAGAACTTTTAATAATAAGCATATTGAATGAACAAAATGATTGAAGGCTTTGTACACTATTCTTGTTTAATAATAAATAAAAAAGAAATAATAAGATAAATGGAATTAATAATCAAAATTAAAAATATGCGAATAAAATTAATTATAATACATTAGAATTGCTCATTTTAATTGTACTCTTTATATTCACAGCTTAAAATAGCTTTATATTTTTACTTTAAAGATAGTTTATTATGAATAAAATATAAAATACTACGAAAGTATTCATTCCAAGACATAATTTTTACATGAGAGCATGCTTGCGTAACAAGTGTATTTAAAATCTAATTTTGAGTCCAATCTTTCTAAAAAGAATATCAAACAGGAGAAAAATATTCTCATATTATGAAAGAAACAAAAATCAGCGTATATAATTAATACATGTGTGATAATATTCGATTAATTTTTTTAATTTTATAATTTCGCAGGTTAGACCGGATACACATGCGTTCGATCAAACGTCAGATCGAACGTCACGTGCAGCTGCTTATACACGTGGAGCTGCAACGTACCATGCATTATGTTGGAAGACGTCCCCGTCGAGGGGCAAGTTTCGCGTTCCGAATCGCGGTCTTCCCGTTTCATGATTATCACTCTTCGACGATCCCTCGGCCATGTTTCAAAACGCGCCGGCGAAATGATGCGACCACATGTGACATTGGAATCGTTGCGTCGCGATTTTGACATGTCAAGGGAATTATTTTTTACACGTGAGAATTATTTTCCTTCTTAAAATTCACTCAGAATTATTTTCCTTCTTAATCACTCATCATAATTATATACAATTATTAGTTTGGTTATTTTTATAGGTTATTTCCTTTTCATAGAGAAACAGCTGTTTAATTCAGCCAAGTATACATATAAACAAAATAATAGTATAATGAAAAAAAAAGAGATGATATGCGAAATAATTATAAAATAAGACGATGAATGAAATAATTATATTTATTTTAGAGCCCATGAAGTTACTGGATTTATATCGATATATATATCGATTATACTAGGCTTGTATCGATATATCGGCTTGAATTAATCGCTATATTCTCGCGGGTTTCCTGAGCCACGAGTTTCCCGGCCATTTTGTAAAGCATAAGCTTGTTCCAGCTACATTTTCACATAATTTTAGCGTTTAATTCTTAATTTGGTAAGTTGCTAATTTAGAGATTCTGAGAAAAAGGAGTCTCACTAATTATATTAATTGTTAATAATATTTTTCCAGTTATATATCGGATTTTAAATAAACGTAAAATTCTCTGCGTTTAGTATCTTATATCGATCAATTTTGTATATTTTAAACGATATCGCGTTGTATTTTAAATTCCAAGTAATTAAAATTGAACTTTTGCATTTATATATCTCGTATTATTTTTATATACTGACGATCAATTTTACATAAAACTAGTCATCAAAGTAGTCAAACGCAATAAAAGCCTATTTAAAAAAACCACCCGTATAAGATCGACATAAGAGAATGTACGTTAAAGTATAACGAAAAAAAAAAAAATTTGAAAAGTTGGAAAAATGCACACAGGTAAAGGAAAAGATTTATTTAAGCATATCTCAGTTTCTCTCTATATATGTCGGATGTCATTGTCAGGAGAACAGATTATATTTACTTTAACGCGAAAGATACGAATAAGATGCTCGTTTTGTCTTTCTCTAAATACTTTTTTATATACGACATAAGCGAGAATGGAGAACGCACTTCACGTCGTAAAGTGCTTCGAACGAGAGTAGAGATTACGCGCGAGACTCACCCCCTCCCCCCATAATCCCATCATTCTCCGCGTTTACCCCGCGGCGGGATATCGAATGGTATTTATTTATTTTTTTTTAGTTGGAAATATATATCACGCGCGCTCGATCGCGCGCGCGGTACCGCATCAGGATCAACGACCTAAGAAAGTGATATAGGTTAGGTTGAGGGTATGTATGCGCGCATGGTATGCGGAAACGCGGGATGGGTGTGACGCGGCGAGGGGGTGCAGGTCGCGGGGGTGGCCGCGAGTTACGTCATTGGATGCTTGATGTCGCAGGGGCGAATCTCGCGACTCACGCACTTTGAATCCGCGACGATTTTCGCAGGCGTGGACTTCTCTCAACATCGAGATGTGTACGCGAAATTTTGAGATACAAAGATGCAGCACCTTCTAACGAGCAGACAATATTTTTGAAAATGTTCTTAAAAATGTTTTAAAAACATTTTTATAAACATTGAAATAATGGGTTAAATCCCCTTTTAATCATTAAAAAATTTTTTATATTAACACTTGTTATTTTAAATGAATATATTTCATGTAAAATAAATAATTAATAAACATTAAATAAATATTATTTTTACAATTAATTGTACAACGTACAATTAATGAACAATAAATATTAAAAATACATTTAAAAAATATTGTCTGCTCACACATTGAGCTGTCGTTTAAATATATAATAAAATAGTAGACCCAATGTGTGATATCTGAATATATGTTTTTTTCATTCGAAAATGTATTACATTCATTACATTTTTTAACATGTATATTAATAGGAGAACGAACGAAAGATGTTAAATTAAAATAACGAATCTATATGTATAGCTAACTATAGATTTCTTTTCAGAAACATGGATGAATAATTCGATACGCATCTAGTCCTATTTCTAAATATGATCTGCCACTTTAACCGACTATTTCCGGAAAAATCAATTCCGAAGGTATCAATTAGATTAGCAGAGAAGCTGGCTTATAAAATATAGATGAATTAAAGGACCCATTTTTGGATGGAACAAATGGAGAATATCAGGTATTTCATAAGTTTATTCCTTCAATTTTATACATATTTTTAATTGCTTCTCTATATAATTAAAACAATCAACGAATAGATATAAAAATTAATAATAAAAACAGGCATTTGATAATTTTGCAATCAATTCCTGCTTTTCAAATGTTGGAAAGATCAGAATCTTGATCTTCTTAATTTACTTTGATTCAAAACGTTTTTTAATTTTGTTTTTCCCCCGAAATTCTTTAACAATAATATTTATTTACTCTTTGCGAAAATCTACATTCATACATGCGAGATCATATACCTATATCTATAATAATACTCTGTGCACGCTTTTACAAATTGCTCGATTTATACAGATACAAGTTCGCGCCGCTCGATATTCAATCGCACGTGTTCAATAATACGCGCGTTAATAATGTATTCTTCCCGCAGGTTTTCCTCGATCCGTCCGCTTTTTTCGCGCGATGAGGTTCGTCGATTCGTTCGCGAGGATGCTTTATCGACGCGATGCGGCTCTTTGGCGGCGAGCGAGACGAAGCGAGGCGAGGCGAAGCGAGAGACGAACGACGAGTGACGAGACGAGACGTGGAGGTAGTGAGGAGAGGTGCTCGCGCGATTCCTGGCAACCGGTTGCCAAGGGCCATGCGAGGTCCTCGCGCCGCTCCTGCACTCGCCGCCTCGTCGTGGGTGGCTACCGTGACGTCCTAATCCTGCCGCGAGTCCCTAGGGGCGAGATCGATACACGCCGTGATCCGTTTCCCTTTCCCTTCCTCTCTTTCTCTCTCTCTTCCTCCTCTCTCTTCCCCCCTTGTTTTCGCGCGCGATGGGTTAGGCACTCATCGATCTCGAGTCGGCGAACTTGTCGGAGACAAAAAAAAAAGGGGGAAAAAACATGGGAAAACCCGTCCTCCGCTGAAAATTGGCGCGCGAACACGTCTCGCCCTTCGGTTCGTGAAAAATTGCAACATGTGTGCGCTATCGAATCTAGGAAATATTTTAATCAAAGTACACACTTGTGGGGATACATTAGCGATAAATTAAGTCGAGATCAAAAACGTCTGTCATTAATTCAATTAATATGTTAACTATGTACTTTTTTGTCTAATTTTACAAGACTTTTATAGTTTTATTGAATGATTTTTTTTTTTCCAAGATCATTCTCAAATTTTAGTCATCTCGTTGCGCCGAGACTTTTCGGTTGCAGCGAGCTATACCTCGTAAAACTGACAAACTCTTGTACTACTTTAAGGCTATTAAGAATGTGCGATTTGAAAAAATCCGTCTTTCTCTTTGCATAATCTATCTCTTGGATGTACTTATTATGTTTTATTTTTGTTTACATACACAATGCACGAAAAATCCTACATTTTATTTTGCAATTAAAGAGGGATAAATGAAGGTATATCTGTAATAGTTATTATATGCAATTGAACACAATTTATGTAAAAAAAACTTGATATCAAGGGCTAATATTTATATATTGATGATATTTGATATGACAAGTTTTTAGCGCGAATTTAGAGAAACACTGTTGCAAATCTTTTAAAATCTATTCATAGATTTCAGATACTTTTCTCAAGATTTTTTAGGATCAATTGTTAGATTCCGGTCTCTCGAACCCTCAGGACAAACCACAAAGTCCTTTTTTACCAATCTCGACCAATCGTCACCTTGCATCCTCTTTCGTTTCTGCAACTCGTAGGTTTTCGTCTACCAGAGGAGAGGGATGAGAGGAGGAAGGGCAAGGTTTGACCTTTTTGAGGGGATGACGGGATGGGTAGGACAAGGGTAGTTCGACGGCTGTCTTTTGGGGCATCGGCCCTTGCCTCGCCGAGGGAGGGTGAGCAGGGGCGGACGAGGAGGACCTACGCGTTATTGAGCGGCCATTTCCCACAAAGCGCAGACGAGGGCAACCACCCCGACGAAGCGCGCGGAGTCCTCTCTTCTCTCTCTCTCTCTCTTTGCCCCTCCGCCCTCTTTTCACCCCGACCTCTCTACCCTCCGCCCTCGTCCTTTCGTCCCTTTGCGCGTCGCTCTCCCTTCGGTCTATTACAGGCGAGAGAACCTTTCCGAGACCACGGATAATGCACCACCTTCATCGACGCATCTTTGAAAATGGTGGATTTCTTAAGTTCTGTTCTAGAGATATGACTCATATGTAAGTAACGAAGGTTCATAAAAATTCGAGGAAAAGATTTTTAATGGTTCACAAGAATTCGAGAAAAAGATTTCAAATGTATCTTATCTTTAGCTTTATCTTTGTCTTAATCTGCGCCTTATCTTTAAAACTCATTTTAAATTCTTGTTAAGAAAGCATTGATTTCTAGATAGAAAAAGAATTTGGAATCAAGTAGACATTGCTCAATGATAATGATAAAGATAAGAGTAAAAATAATTCAGTAAACAGATAATACAATAATAATTTTCTCGATATATATTCTAAGAGATTATATATATATAATATTTATTGTACATTACTATATATTTTCTAATACATATTGTAATATTATATATGGTATGATATATGTATATATGTATACCATATTCTAATTAATTATTGTTATTTTTTAATTCGTTTATTGGTTGAATTCTAGAATTATATATACATAGCATCCCGAGATAACTGAATAATATTTCAGGATAAATTTTCGGGTGTAAAATAGAGATGATTTTTTAGAATCAACATATACTCTAAAATATCTCTAGATAGATATTTGCTTTTTCATATCATCAATCTATATATAAATACTTTTATTACACAAAAGAATCTTATAAGATTGAAAAAATATGCTAAATCTTTAAAATTAACATAAGAGTAGCATTAAAATATTTTTATAGAAAACAGAAATAAAATCCTTTACTCGTATATATACAATATATAAGCTAAATTTTTTTTATTTTATAAATGATAATTATTATAATTCACAGGTGAGATTAATAAATCGAATACACGAGAGAAGGAAAGAAAATTTCTCGCGTAACGTTATGTCGAGGCTGAGCGAATTCGGAGGGCATAAGCTCTTCTGCAGCACCACCCGGCACACCGGCGGAATATATAATCTCGGGGTCATTGCTCGAACGATCTTTGGGGGTTCCACCGTGGTGTCTGCAACGAGGGTGAGAGACGCCTCGAAATACCGGACGCAGATATCGACCACCACTTTCCCCAAAAGACAAAAACGGATTCGAAATAGCGCGCGCATCTGTATCTCTGTTCTCCGATAATGACATATCAATAAATATCAAAACAAGAGCGAAACAATAATAATAACATTTCGACTGTATATATACCGGGTCGTTGCGTACGAGGTATATGTTGAAAATTTCACTTTTATGCAGTATATGTTCTTTGATATCCACGTTAATACACATCGCGGTTCTTTTATAAATTTATATTTTAATTTTTGCAAAATGTTTGTGGAATTTCACAAATATCTGTAGAAAATTAAAATATTTGTATATAAAATTACTCTCTCTTTATATATATAACTGTAAAATCGAAAGAAACAATATGTAATATATATATAAGTTAGAGACATAGAGAAACATATCACACACACATACATAAGATGCCAAAAATAGATATTTTACTTGATATTTTATTGCTTTTAAATAGATGAAAAAGGTTGCCGTTAAATCTGAACATCCTGTATAACCATACATCTCACTTTTCTCTCGTCGCGATTATTTACGCCGCATTCCGGATAAACGGCATAAATAGGACGGAAAATAATATGGATAATCAAGATGATTGAATTGCCGGGGTGCCCTTTGCATCATGTGATATAACGTCAAACCGAACGCCACCATCATGTGGTGCGGGCTGATGTGGTCGCTTTAATGGTATGCAAATTACCAGGTAAATTCTGCGCGCGAGCTTTGTCGAAGTAGAGAGAGGGGAGGAACGGAATAGAAGAGAAGGGGATGGACAAAATTGAAAGGGTTGGTCCGAGGTGATTCTTGAAAAACAAACAGGAAATGCGGCCACGCGGTTCCCGCCGATTAATTACGCTAATGGAAACATTTTCGCAGCATTCGAGCTGCAGGAGACGATATAATGCATACCAAGATAAAAGAATATTACACATACGATTCGACAAAAAAAAATGTATAATATTTGTAATAATTTATTATTGAAAGATGTGGAAGGAGAGACGTTTTATAAAAATTACTCCAACACAGAGATTGATGCATCTTGGAAACATCTATTTCACCTATTATTCGCGGCACGTGACATACAAATACGTATAGATACACATACTGGGACGCCCGCATCTATTTATAACGGCGATGAATTGCGGGGCGATTGACCGCGTGACCTTGACTTCCGGTTGATCCGACTGTCCTCCCTCTCTCCACTCCTTCCTCCTGGGAATTTCAATGTGATTCTCGCAAGATTTCCCGACGGCATTTAGGCACCTATTAATCTCGTCTTTCGATTAGAAGGGAAGGGATGGCAGAAGAATCGGCTATTATCGGATAACGATATCGAGTAATTTCAAAATATGTTTCTGTGAAATATATCTTTGATTTAAGGTTTATTTTTTTCAGCTGCAACTTTTTTGCTTTATGCTTCCAATCGGACAAGTCTATCATTGTAAGGAAAAGGAGATAAGAAAATATACAGAAGCTATAAAGCAAACAAATTCTATATGTATAGTTTGATGAAATACAAAAGGACCGATATAAAAATCTGGACGAATTAGGGGAGCGTATTTGGGAGGAATGTTCGACACATTGAAGCCATTAAACTTGGAGATAAGTTTTAATTACTTTTTTTGTAATAATTAAATTATGCAGTGATAATAAGTAATCTCGTAAATTGGATGCTCTACAGACACGTGAAAATATTAAGAGGACATAGCCGTTTGAACCTTCGAAATTATGAATAGATTTTCTGGATTTTTTTGCAGAGCAACGATTTGATAAATGTTCTTTTTATAATATTAATACAATATTATTAAGCACTTAAATAAAAATTTTCAGCTTAAAAATTTTTTTTCAGAAGATATGTCAATATTTGCAGATTTATATTTTCATGCACAGTGTGCATGAAAATGTTCGTTTATCATATCTGAAATCAAAAATATAAGTTTTTTTTATTAAACATATTAATAGCTATCTGCTATCTAAGTGTTTCTTTTTTAATTTTAGAAAATAAGAAAATGACGGCATGTTGAAAAAGTTTCGTTTTTTTTTTTTAATTCATCTTTTTGGTTTATAATAAAAAAATGGGAAATCGGTTTTAAAAAAGGCTTCGTTAGCAGATGCGGAATCTTATTAGGAACTCGCATGCAAAATTTGAAGTCTATCCGTCGAATGTAGCCAGAGTTTTCATGCACACCATGCATATAAATCTGCAAATATTCGCATAACTTAAAAAAAAAAAAATTTTTTTAAGCTGAAGATTTTTATTTAAATACTTAATAATATTGTATTAATATTGTAGAAAAATAAAAAGTTTTTATCAAGTCGTTGCGCTGCAAAAAATCGAGAAAATATACATATCATTTTTCGAGAATTTAAACGGTATGCCCCCTTAATCTCTCTGCTTTTATTCGCAACCGTAAGGATTTATATTATACATTTTTTTCCGTATTTAAAGAAACTCGTTGAAACGTCATCGATTTGCGTTTAACGGATAATAGGAAGGACGATGACCTAAACTAAATCTCGCGATTTTGTTATTTACATCAAACGATCCGCCGCTAATATGACTCTGTTTAGCTCGTTGTTCCGCTGCCTCGCGCACGCTGCCTCCTTTTTCCTTGCCCCGTCTCTTTCCTCCTTTTTTTTTTCTTCTTTTTTTTTGCAATCGCCCGGAAACCTGTTCGCACGAGAGTAGCAGCAACGGAATGTCCGAGTGCTGCTCGCTCTCATCTCGAACCGATCGAACCGGTGAGATCGTTCATTCTATGCTACGGTTTCGCTTAGAATTTCTCACATTTATTCACCGTTGCTCAAACGTGTGCGAGTATTTTAGCTCTTTTTTCTTTAAAAATTATTATTAAATTAAATATGCAATTAGTATATTAATATGATAATGGAACAGCATAAAAGATATTGATATGACAATTATTCTTATTGATAGTATCACATTTTTAGTGCAGTAGTAAACGCCGATTATATATCCTGACAAGCATGGAAGTGTACTAATGTTCGCGATTTTGATAAAATTCCTCTCTTTAAAATTGACTAATGGTTTTAATTGACTCACATTTTTTGTGAACGATCCGAGCCACGTAAAGCGGCTTTTAGTTTCGCGATTAAACTCAAAAATATATTTAATATTCTTGTCAATATTAATAGGTGGGAAAGCGAGCGAAAGAGAGAGAGAGAGAGAGAAGCTACACTAGGAGATTCGCGGAGGAGGATGCCGAGGAATGAAGGCTAACGACCTTGACCTTGTCTGTGGCGTGTGGGACTGTGTGCACTTGTGATCACGAGAGAGAGAGAGAGAGGGAGGGAGAAAGAAAGGTGAGGAGGGGGAGAGAGAGAATGCGAAAGTAGAAACACGAGAAAAGACATCGGTCAAAACCGACTGGCCTGCTTTCTTGCGCGTCTCGACACGATGAGAAGGAATGAATCCAGGTAAGCGACGAGACGGACGGGGCCCCGATGATTAACAATAAGACGGCGGCGACGTCGGACGTCCTCGACAGCGATGGGGCCCCCGCGAATGGCGAACGACAGCGTTGCGACATATCGCGATGCATGGTGCATCGCTTAACAGGATTCTAGAAGACAGAGAGAGAGAGAGGGAAGGACTCTGTCTAGCATAACAATATATATAGGGCGTGTTTCGCGAGAGTAGCCAACACGAAACTTTTCTAGCAATTATTATTAACTTATCATTCTCTTCATTAATGTTTTATGATATATAATCGATATAAACGAATTTAATCATATATTTAATTATCAATAGATCAATTCAGATATACTTTGTGCGAATAAAATTGGAGGAATTGGAAAAGAAATTTCACCGTTCTTGTTTATACGTCTCTCAGCTTTATTATTTCATCATTCTTTTTCCAAGTTTTCTCAGTCGCAAAATTTAATTTCGTTGCAATCTACAAGGAAGAAATTTCTCAAATATATCCCGCTGTTTTTGCGAGACTTTGTGTTTTCTGTTCTTCAAAGCGAGGCAAACACACGTTCGTGCAATTTGCAGTGTCAATATTGATGTTTTCGTGATGTGATAAGCTCGAGTGTAACCATCTAAACGTAATGAAGCTGAGAGAATAATAATTAATAGCGAGATATTTCAATTGCAATCATATGGACACGTGTGTTATTTATACATAGTCGTCGATTTCGCTCGTATTTACATATTGAATCGTTCTATATAAAATATCACATTTTAAAAGTCTCAGTTTTACTTCTCGTTTAAATAAGAAAAGAATTTTTTCTCTCTCTCTTTCTCTTTTGTAAAATTAAATAAATAAAATTAAAAAATGTGTTTCTCGTTCGTACTTCCTGGAGAAATCTTACTAATCAGAATCGATATATCGTAGGAGAAATAACGATGTCGACCTCGATGACGTTCCTCGCGACACCGCGCAGAGGCAGAGAGCTCGTCAATGAGACGCGAGCGCGAGTCGACGACCGCGAGAGCAAGAGCGGAGCGGGACGTCGCGACGAGGGATGCTGTCCGCACCGAGTTGCGTTGCGTTGCGTCGTGTCGCGTCACTAGGAGAAAGAGAGAAAATCGCGACTCTCGATGCGAGAGAGGGGGAGGGAAAATCCAACCCGCCGACTCCTGACCTCCAAGAGGAGTAGGAGATGTGAGCGAGGTCGTTCCGCGATCGATCGATAAATGCGCTTTTGCCTCTTGCGACCAAGGTGCGAAGGAACTTGGCGTATTAAGAGAAAGAGAGAGAGAGAGAGAGAGGAAGGAAACGGCAAACAGAAAAGGAGAAAGTGGGAGAGAGAGGGCGCGTGAGAGGAAAAATTGAGAAAGAAACCGCCCTTATCATTTGATAATACTTTCCCTTTCTTTTTTTGTATACGCGATAATATTAATTTAGTAATCAAGTTTTAGTGAATTAAAATAAATGATCTACATCGCGTATGTGTATAAAGAGAAAGAGAGAGAGAGAGGGAGAGGAAGCGGAGGGGGGAAAGAGAGAGATCATCTGCTTCATTCAAGTTTTTTCTTTTCATGTATTGTAAATTCTTGTCTTTTAAATTGGAACACGATAGCATCCTTCATCTTTTCTATTCTTTTTTTCTCGCTCGATTGAGTTTTTCTTTGATTAGAAGAGATGAAATCACAATAAATATTTATAGATTCTTTTCTAATATATATGCTTGCAAATTTCTTCTTCGATCCGAAGTCACGTACAAATTTTCTGCCACGTAGAAAATTTCTCGGTGAGCACCCCTGCAGAGAAAGGCGAAAGGACCGGAACAATCGATCCTTCGGCCTGCGGAAAGAGAGCGCGGGAGCTGCTTCTTCCTCTCGTTCTCTTCGTCTCTCTTTCCACACATCTCTTTCCGCTGTCTCGCCTCTTCTCCCGACGTCCCGTTTATCTCAGGTAACCGATTGCGAAGTCCGGAAATCCTTTAGAAACAAGACTCGCGACAAAACGAATGAATAAGCAATTATAGATTAAAGTCGGAAAATAAATAATATGTATCATCATTATCTCGACGCGAAATGTCAGAGAATCCGAACAAGAAATTTTATCGCAACTTTTTTTTTTACGCGTCTATGAATTCTTTCATCTTCATTTATGCGCGATTTATCCGATCGAGGCGATCAATTCGAAAAGGAATTTTTTTATGTAAAAGCATCAAACGCGAATAAAACAAGAAAGAAAGACATGACAATGCTTGCTTTTTATATATATGTACCTATAACGAATAAACGAGTGAGAGAGTGAGCCATCCGAATTTTCTCTCTTTTCATTGTTTACATTTCGCGAATTTATTTTAATAATTCCATCCACTTTATTAGCATCAACATGTTATCCATCTGGTGTTCTCGTGACGCCTCAATTATCACATCCTTCGCAGTACGATGCAAAGATATGTTCCCCTCGATCTTATATCGATAGAGCCATTTTCTCTCTCGTTCTCTCTCCCTCTCGTCATGTTTTAGATTTTAGATACAGACAAACGCGACATTTGACATTGGACATTACGCTTCTTATTTCCCGTAAATAATCTGTACCGTATTTCGGGCTGCATAAGACAAGACTCGATAAGAGTCGTCCAGAGAGCGAGCGTAATGAACCCCCCCCCCCCCCCTCTCTCTCTCTCTCTCTCACTCTTCCTCTTTCCATCCATTCGCTGCCACCGCGGCGCTCGGCGCGTTTACACGGCTGCCAACCGCAGCGCGCCGAAACTCGCCGACGACATCCGTCGCGTCACCGACTCTTCCTCCCCCCTCCCTCCAAC